ATACTTTAGATTTCTATACCGCTCCAAACCCCGAAGGGTCTCTGAGCGGTTTACACAGTTCCGAATTATCCCTAACTAAGGCCATATGTTTACAGGGGTCAGGGCTACCTATCGGCTTAGAGGGAACATTGCTCCAGACTATAGAGATCAGTTCCCCTGGAGGAAATGGATGCTTTGGAGGGTGGGCTCTATGTCGTTGTACCCCTGTCCTCCCCAGGCTCCACCCCCAAAGCTCCAGGAGCTTCCCAGCCTGGAGCTGGCAACCTGGCTGCTCCCCATCTCCCACTGGTGACCAGGGCACACCTGGCAACCGAATGAGATGCACTAAAGCAGGTCGGGGGAAAGTTTTGTTGCCTTTCTTTCCCTTTGTAGAGAGTTGGTGGTCAGAGCCCTCTTTCCCCCTTCTGCGATGGGTGCTGGTGAGATAGTAAATAAAAGTGGCCTTTCCTGTGTCTTTAGCACCAGCTTGCTCTGTAGAGCCACCATGGGGTAGTGAGTGGTTAGAGTGTTGGACTAGGATCTAGGAAACCCGGGTTTAGATTTGCACTGTGTCACGGAAGCTTGTATTCTCAACCTACTCTACCTCACAAGGTTGTTGTGAGGGTAAAATGGAGGACGGGCAAAGTTGTAAGCGGCTTCATGTCCAAAAGGGGGGGGGGCGTATATCTGAACGAATACATAAAGAAATACGAACAGGTGACTGCAGTGCTGGTGGTCGTCCCTGCTGTGAGAACTGTCACCTGCTTCCTTATGCAGATAAAGCTCTTGTGGTTAAGACGCTGAACTGCAGCCTGTGGAAGGTCGGTAGTTCAGCAGTTCAAGATCCGAGTGTGCCGCATGACGGAGGGAGCTCCCCTCTCTAGTTCCAGCTCCTGCCAACCTAGCAGTTTGAAAGAAAGAAATGGCAAGTAGATAAATAGGTACCACTTCGGTGGGAAGGGAACAGCATTCCGTGCGCCTTGGTGTTTAGTCATGCCGGCCACATGACCACGGAAACGTCTTCGGACAGCGCTGGCTCTTTGGCTTGGAAATGGAGATGAGCACCGCAACCCTAGAGTCGGACTCGACTGGCTTTCGAGCAAGGGAACCTTTAGCTTTACAAAGGTATAAGAACTAGGCCCAGTAAAGGAGTTGGCACCCTCAGTGCAGTCGCGGGATAGGGTAAGGACTTAGCATGAACAGTGCGAGAGGGGAGGGTGAAGGGGGCTCCAAGATCCTGAGAATAATGTCATCCTGCAAGACAATGTTTAGAAGACAGTCAGGGCTTTCCGTTTGCGCCTCGGACAGCGGTCTGACAATATTAAGCATTGATCTGGCCATCTTTGCACCAACCCTATGTGGTGGTTCACTGTTAATGGATGTAACACCATCCTTAACAGAATGCAAAGTTTGATTTTTCTTAGCTGTCAAAGGAGGCAGCATTCCCAACTGATCCCAGGATGTGGGGTCTTGGGACCAGGCGGGAGCCATCAGCCTGGTAATGGCCAGAACCAAGTGGCTCCGTGTCGGGCAGGCAAAGGCCAGGCTTCCAAATGCTGTGAGCACACGGAAGAAGAGGCTAGTGAACCGTTGGGTTTCAGAGGCAGCTGCTATGATGTGGGTGGTTGCATGTTGCTTGGACCTTCCAAAAATGCTTAAGACTTGTGCTGAAATCTAGAGAAGAAATGGTTCCAGAAACAAACTGGTTTTTAAAAACAAAGGGCTGGGTACCTCTTTCCCCACTCCTCTGATGCTGTTAAAGTCAGGATGAGATGACTTTAAAATTGTCTGCCTTCTAGGGACTGTGCTGAAATAATCTGCATGGGTTTCTTCTCACAACAAGCACACAGGGAACACGGCTAACTTAGATAAACACAGAAAACACTGTGTTGAAATAATAAACACAATATTCACATGTACTTATAGCTAAATATATTTGCTTTTTATACACAACATCAACTCTAGTGTATTGCAAACACTTTCAAACGACAATATCACATTTCAAACACTTTCAAACTAAGTTCTATAACATAAAGAGTCCAACTGTCTTCTTCCTGATGGAGGATAAATAGCAATGTACAGTTATTTGTACCAAACAATGCAGCAACCTATCGTACATTTCCCAAGTGATGATCCATCAGGTAAAACTAGCAGGCAGCTTGTATTTCTCACTGTGATGATTCAGCTTAGCAAGCAAGCCTAGTAGATGTATTTTCCCATGAGGTGATTCAGCTAGCAAGCAGGCCTAGCAACACGCCTCCCGGGCATAACCTGCGTGTTTCGAACAAATCTTCTTCAGGCATATAAATTTTCCTGGAACCACAGCTCTTGAATTTACCCATGCATAAGTCAAACAATGCAAACATGGCTGTTCTGGTTCTCCATGTTCTCACACCTGCTTGACGTCCCTGGGCAGAACGCCGTCACTGATGCCTGGGTTGGCACTTCCCAGAACAAAACAGAACAACAAAAAGAGATCAGGCACCTCTGTTTTGCCGTCTGCTGAGCTTTGGGAATTCCTGCTCACCTCGCTGGGTGGCAAATTACCAGGCTGATGATCCAGTCCAGCACTATTGAGAGAAACTTGGGCGAGCTTTGCTCAGAATTATGAGCAAAGATCTTTCTGAGCTTTGACTTGTGAGAGCTTATACACCCTGGTCTGTAAGGGGCTACTGGGTTCAAGTTTTCTTCTACTATAGCAGACTTAAGAAGACTGCCCATTTGAAACTCACAACATTCCCAGTTATTTGGTGGCATTGGCAAAGCTGAGGCTTTCTCAGTCGTAAGAGCCGATCTACTTCATTCTGAGCTACATTCACTATTAAAAGGTAAAGGTTTCCCTTGCTCGAAAGCCAGTCGAATCCAACTCTAGGGTTGCGGTGCTCATCTCCGTTTCAAAGCCGAAGAGCCAGCGCTGTCCGAAGACGTTTCCGTGGTCATGTGGCCGCCATGACTAAACACCGAGGTGCACAGAACGCTGTTACCTTCCCACTGAAGTGGTACCTATTTATCTACTTGCAATTTCTTGCTTTCGAACTGCTAGGTTGGCAGGAGCTGGAACTAGAGACGGGAGCTCACGAGGTCACGCGGCACTAGGGTCTTGAACTGCTGAACTACCGACCTTCCACAGGCTGCAGTTCAGAGTCTTAACCACTTGAGCCACCGCAGCTCCTTAACATTCATTCACTATATAATGCCGCTAACAAAACCTGCTCACCCCTGTATTTTGGAATATCTCCTAAAATCGACCAAGCTGCCTCTTACCTGTACCAGCTTCACATCCCCAAACCCTCTTTGGCCAGATTCAATGTATTACCTTCGGCCTTATTATCTGGCCATTTTCAGGGTGTGCCCTTTTCTGACAGATGTTGTCCATGATCATATCGAAACAATCTCCCATGTCTTGTTTCAGTGCCCCTTCTACCATGCGTTACGACTGAAATTTCTAAACTCTACTTTGGCTCAATTAGAAGAATATCCTGATGGCCTAAAGGTCCTTACTCTTCTTGATAATCCAACCCTTGAGATAACGGGAACTGGCGCTAAATTTCTTCTGGGTGCCATTTCTATTCGCCCTTTATTTAATTGATTGGTATACTTACACGGTAATTCCTTACATCTGTTTTTTGCAAGTATTATTTTATGCTGTTGTTGTTTTTGCTGTACATGGCTCTGTAAGGGTTATGTGCCGATAAAGGTAATTGGATTGAGCTGTGTAAAAACTCACATGAAACAGATACTGTTTTGAGGGCGACGTTTTGTTTTTAGCTGCCCTTCAGAAGGAAACGCCTAAACTTTGGGTCTGGTGGTTTTCAGAACTGCTGCATTCTGAACGTACTTTTCGTCCTGCCCTGTGTTTGCCCAGCTGAATATGTCTCATTTCAGTGAAGTTTGGGATTCTTCTGAGCTACTCTCTGGCTTCTTCTTTTTGGGGGGGCATAGATTGGGCAAAATGTATTTGGAACGGCAGCCTTTAGGAAACACGAGGTCTAGTCGCCAAAGGTGAAGGCAAACAGGCTACCGGGCTGCAAAGCAAATCGGAGATGATAGCTTTTTGTTGTGTTTTTTTTTTCTGGAGAGGACACCTGTTATTAAAGTCCACATTTATAATCTTGCAACAAATGAGTGCATCGATTAGTCAATACAATCAATCGATGAATGCCTCCGGGCCCTTAATCCCTTGTAGCTAAATGGAGCTGTAAATGTGTTGCCTTGGCAGCATTAGACCAAGGCCTATTCAGTTCCAGGCTCTAAACTTCAGGAAGGTTGTTGAATCACTGGGATGGATTCGAGGGAGAGGCACAGGTTGCTACTTTCCTACTCACGGGTGGGGGGGGGCTGAGTGGCACAGAATGGGGGAAACGTCCCCTTGTAATAATTTTGTACTAGCCGATGTTGAATCTGTTTTATTGCCCAGTATTAAAGTTGGGGTGTGTGGCATCCTCCTTCTTGTGGAGGCTGTTTCTCCTTTAAAACACACTCTGTGTACATGAACTTGGTAGATTTCTGCTGCCGGCAGGAATACAATATTCCCAATCTCTCTGTTGTGGTAGAATGACCCAGGGTCTGGGCACTTCGGAGGTCTATGTGGCCCTGAGGAAGGACTATTCTGATTGCTGGGATAAGTTTAAACATCTCTCTCTCTCATATATATATATATATATGGCCACACAGGCTAAACACTTTGTCTTATTCACACAGAATAGACTCAAAAACTCCCATAGTCACACAGACTATGCTCTCTCTCCAAACTTCACACACAGAATCTTCTCAGAGACACCCCTCCTCCCACACTCTCAGTCACCAGCCAATCACATCACACTTGTCTCCCTCTATCACTCGTCTTACATTACTGCAGTCAAACTAAACATTTAAAGAAACACACACGCCAAAACATGGAATCATTACAGGCGGGTTCCGCTTCACAGTTTGCTTGGGGTTGTCAGGGATGCAAATTCATCGTTAAGCGTGTTAATGGGGCTCCTACCATCTCCTCTCTTTTCACACAGTGTTTTGGAACAATGGTGCCCGTACCATCTGCTGAGCAGGGTAACGTGTCCGTGGTGGTGCGGGTACGGCCCCAGGCCTCGTGGGAGCAGGAGAGCAACCGCCCGAGTGTGGTGCATGTGGTCAATGACTGTCTGCTCGTTTTCGATCCCGAGGAGCCCAGCCCACCAGGGATCTTGGCAGGCCTCCAAGGGTATGACTCTGCCCCGAGACGGAAGGGCAAGGACCTGAAGTTCGTTTTCGACCGGGTGTTCGGCGAGAGCGCCACTCAAGCTGAGGTGTTTGAGAACACAACCAAAGAGGTCCTGGATGGTGTCTTGAACGGCTACAATTGTTCTGGTAAGGAGGCTAGAGGTAGGATTGAGGAGGGCAGTGGGGTGGCCACAAGGGGGTGCTGTTTGCGGGGACGGCCATGGCTCAGTGGCAGAGCATCTGCTTGGCAGGCAGAAGGTTGCAGGTTCAATCCCCTGCATCTCCAGGGAACATGAACAGATAGCAGGAGACCCACTGCCAAAGCAAACAAGACTGACCTTGATAGGCCCATGGTCTAATTCAGTCCAATGCCGTGGCTCGGTGGCAGAGCATCTGCTTGGCAGGCAGAATGTTGCAGGGTCAATCCCCTGCATCTCCAGGGAACATGAACAGATAGCAGGAGACCCACTGCTAAAGCAGACAAGACTGACCTTGATAGGCACGTGGTCTAATTCAGTCCAGTGCCACTTCACATGGTCAATATTAGCGTAACAGACTGCTTGATGGAAACACACGGAACTTCTCCATTCTGCTGTTGGTCATGATTCTCTGTAGTTCTGTCTTGCTTCTCTATTGGCTTGCACCCTTTTGGCAATCAAAGTGATATCCAGTGCTCCCTCTAAGCTGAGTTAGTGAGCTAGCTCACAGTTTTTTAGCCTCTGGCTCGCACATTTTTGTCTCAGCTCAGGAAGGATGGCTCCAGAGCAAACTAATTTCTGCAGCAGCCAAATTGCTGGGTCAGAACTTTAATGCCAGACGCTCACAAAGTAGGATTTTTGCTCACAAGAAAGTAGAATTCTCGCTCATAAGACTCCACAGCTCAGAGGGAGCATTGGAGATAACCCCATCCTGCTTAGTACTGGAAATGTCTTCTGGGACTTGGACCCCTACTGGAGCACATCCAGACGTTTTTGTGCATGAGCGAAATGTCCCATTTGCCATCCAGGCTTAGACATTTAGTCTAATCAATCAATCTCTCTCTCTCTCATATATATATATATATGGCCACACAGGCTAAACTCTTTGTCTTATTCACACAGAATAGACTCAAAAACTCCCATAGTCACACAGACTATGCTCTCTCTCCAAACTTCACACACAGAATCCTCTCAGAGACACCCCTCCTCCCACACTCTCATTCTGGGACTTGGACCCCTACTGGAGCACATCCAGACGTTTTTATGCATGAGCGAAATGTCCCATTTGCCATCCAGCCTGGTTTTTGGAAGCATCCTTACATGATGCCTGTGCTTTCTTGAGCTCTTTCTGTATATAAACGTCTGTTGCTTATGATCCAAAAATTGCTTTGAGCTGCTATCTTGTCATAAACCTGCTATGGACCACATTGGAGCTTCATCATAGCTGCGTCCCAGGTTAGTCCCTCATCTGGTCATGTTTCTATCCCTCCTTTCCTCTAAGGCAAGATTGGGAAATATCTGGAGATTTGGGGGGGGGTGGAGGTTTGGGGAGCGGAGAAACGTCCCTAATTCCGAAAGGGCCGTTTTCTCCAAGTAATCTCATTGGTTGTAATCAATACTCCCTCTAAGCTGTGAAGTCTTGTGAGCAAAAATTCTACTTTGTGAGCTACTGGCATTAAAGTTGTGAGCGAGCAACTTGGCTACTGCATAAGTTAGTTTGCTCTGGAGCCCTCTTTCCCGAGCTAAGGCAAAAATGTCCGAGCCGGAGGCTACAAAACTGTGAGCTAGCTCACACTAACTCAGCTTAGAGGGAACATTGGATTCCAGGAGATCTCCAGCCACTACCTGGAGGTTGGCAACCCTGTTCTAAGGAGTTCAGGTTGTTATAATAATAATAATACCTTTAGATTTATTGATCACTCAATCCTGCAGAGCTGCTGGCTGTGAGCGATTTACAGTTACACAGGTTTTCACAAGGGACTAACGATGATAGGGGTAAGGGAGGACAATATATAATTCTTTAAATCGCACCCGTTTGCAGCCGACGGGGATTTTTGTTCAGCTGTAGGCTTCAGTCGTGTTCCGGGCATTCATTTCGGCTTGGCTTGATGACGTTAGTTCTTCCTGGGCTGCTTTTTGAGTTGTAGCGCCGTATAGTTGCCCTATTTGGTTTTCCTCTCCTCTGTTGTATCTTCACAAGAGCCCCTCTCTGAGCTCGGCTGAGAGCGCGCAAGGTTACCCAAGCGCATGGTCACTCGCAGCGCTCCAAGGCCGGTATCTTCCAGATCGTCATCTGGCGCTAACCGCTATGCTACACTGGCTCTCTGGCTTAGGGGTGTCATGTGCTCCAGATCTTTTTAGGGCAGGTCTATCAATGGTTGATGGTTAGTGAGAATCATTCCAGACAACTGGGCAATTCTTTTGTTTATTGGCTATTAATGTAGGCTGCAGTGGCTCAAGTGGTTAAGACGCTGAACTGCAGGCTGTGGAAGGTCGGTAGTTCAGCAGTTCGAGACCCGAGTGTGCCGCATGACGGAGTGAGCTCCCGTCTCTGGTTCCAGCTCCTGCCAACCTAGCAGTTCGAAAGCAAGAAATTGCAAGTAGATAAATAGGTACCACTTCGGTGGGAAGGTAGCAGCGTTCCATGCGCCTTGGTGTTTAGTCATGCCGGTCACATGACCACAGAAACGTCTTCGGACAGCGCTGGCTCTTCGGCTTGGAAACGGAGATGAGCACCGCAACCCTAGAGTCGGATTCGACTGGCTTTCGAGCAAGGGAACCTTTACCTTTACCTTTTTAATGTAGGCTAGTAAGAATATTTGGTGGGGGGGTTGCTGAATTCTGTGGATTTATTGGCAATGCTGCTTTGACGTCATCCCTCCATAGGCACCCCCCCCTAGTTTTGACCCAGTTCACACACTTCTTTGCCTCGATCCGATACTTGAAGCATCTTGTTAACGCTGTAGCCACATCTCTCCTGAGGATGTGAGAAGTCTTGTAGCACTTTTCAGTGCGACGCTAACAGGTTTTTTTGCTTAAATGGGCTAGTATTGTTAACACGCTATGCGACACGTGACACATTGTGAGCAACGGTCGCTAGAACTGGTTGTCCCGTCGTCCTCCCAAGATCTCTTTGGCCCTTTCCAATGTTCCCTCTAAGCTGTGGAGTCCTGTCAGTAAAAATTCTACTTTGTGAGCTACTGGCATTAAAGTTGTGAGCAGGTGATTTGGCTACTGCATAAATTAGTTTGCACTGGAGCCATCCTTCCTGAGCTAAGACAAAAATGTGTGAGCCGGAGGCTAAAAAACTGTGAGCTAGCTCACACTAACTCAGCTTAGAGGGAACACTGGCCCTTTCCCCCTCTCAGAAATGTGGGCCATTTCTGTACTGGAACACTCTCTCGTTTAGCTTTTCTCAAGAGTGTCAGGGTGTTGGTATGAAACTGGTAAAGGAGAGCTTTGTGTGCCATCCCGCGGAAAGGCAAGATAAAAATGCACTGAATAAGTAGGTGAGTGTTTGATCCTTGGCTAAGTTGACCCTGCCTAGGTTGGGGCGCAAAGTTTTTCAGAGTCCTAAGGAAAAAACAATCAAGTTTCTAGTCCCAAATAGACGTATATGTTTAATGAAATTAAAAAATATCAGTGAAATAAGACTTCCGTAAGTAGCACACCTGGAGCTGCGGTGGCTCAAGTGGTTAAGACGCTGAACTGCAGGCTCTGGAAGGTCGGTAGTTCAGCAGTTCGAGACCTGAGTGTGCCGCATGACGGAGTGAGCTCCCGTCTCTAGTTCCAGCTCCTGCCAACCTAGCAGTTCGAAAGCAAGGAATTGCAACTAGATAAATAGGTACAACTACAGTGGGAAGGTAACAGTGTTCCGTGCGCCTTGGTGTCTAGTCATGCCGGCCACATGACCACGGAAATGTCTTTGGACAGCGCTGGCTCTTCGGCTTTGAAACGGAGATGAGCACCGCAACCCTAGAGTCGGATTCGACTGGCTTTCGAGCAAGGGAACCTTTACCTTTACCTTTATGCAAAGACAGGAATCAACTCACCCCTCAAATACTACTGTTCCCTACCAGCAGCCTTGCGTATGTTAGTGGAGATAAACACTTTTTCTGTTCATCCTTACATGTGTGTTCATTTTTGATTTTTTTTAAAAAAATTCAGCCATTATCTCTCTATAGCAATATAAACATGCAAAAAAATGAAAAAGGAAAGGGCACTTTGACCCCACGAATGATGCCACCGATGATGATCGCATACTGACTTGAAAAACTTTTTTTTAACGTTTTGGTTTTTTCCCCATTGAGACAAACAAACATACACAAATCGTGGGGCTTCCGTTACATCGCTAAAGTGTCTAGTTACGCATCTCACACAATATCTAAATATCTACTTTCTACATGTCACCTTATTTTTATGCACACTCTCTTGAAAATCTTGATTATTTAAGGCAAATGCGGAAGAAAATAAACGGACTCCACAACTGTGAAGGTGTGGAAGGAGGGCAGATGTGCAGAAGAACCATGATCAATCTGCTTTTGGTGCATATAGATTAAATGCCAAAAGAAAATCGGGAGTTAACGTCAGTGTGCAGAAATGCCCCCTCTAATCTGCTGAAGTGAGCTTTGATTCACTAAGCTTATATCTCAGTGGACTCAAACTTTGTTCCACTATTACAGAGCTGGCAAAGCCACCCTCCTGACAGGACCCGGTTCCGTAGAAACACTTCCAGAACGTGCCTCTACTTTTCCTTTCCTTTTGTAAATGTTGACTATATCAGTTACTGAGGCATGCAGGTAACTGCACCACAATAAATTCCTTTACATGGATTTGCGGCGTCTCCCCCACCCCCACATACCCATGCCCTGGTGTTAGAAACTGAGGGGGACGGAGTTAACATTCTACCTTGCGTAAGGTGACAAGATACCTCAAAGTGATTCTGGCCCCTTCCCAGAGGCAATAACAAGAGTGCAGGTTGTCTGTTTTTCCACTCACCTGGAGAAAGGAGGCCCCAAAAGAGGCAGATGCTCAGGAGTGCCTTCATAGTAAAAGAAAAGAGAGGAAGAGCCAAGGAGGACTCCGATCAGAGAGGAATCCACCAAGGCAGCTGATGTTGCACCCTGAGGCCCAACAGGGGGAATTTATAAGGCAAAGACAGGAGCTCCAGGGCAGCGCTGGGAAACTGGCTCAGCGGGGTACAGGATGTGCCTAAAAAGTGCCTGTAACCAAGAGCGTATATTTTGCTGGTTTGGGAAACAGCTGGAATCTATTTCCAGGACACGCTGAATATTTAGCAAGCATCCTTTCTGGGCTTCCTCGCAGCCACTGTTTCTCCGTAGTGGACACAGAGGCTGAAGCAGATTGTGCTGTTCCTCACATTCATTCGTCTTCCCTTAGGACCACAATGCATAGCTCGAAAAGGACTTCAAAAATGGAGATTGCCTTGTTGGTGCATATCACAATCCAAAAACAGAAGTCATGTAGTAGCTTTTATTTACAGTGCAGTCCTAAGAGATGTCCATGGGCTTAGAGGGTGTAAGGAAGACACCAACTTGTCTGTAACACAGCAACACTGTAGAACTGA